GTTTTATAAGGGCCCCCAACCACCGCGCAGGGGTGGGGGCCAGGGGGGAGGACAGTAGTTCCCCCCCTTATTGTTTTATTAGGGCTCCCACCCACCGCTCAGGGTGGGGGCCGGGGGGGAGGACAGTAGGTTCCCCCCCCTCATTATCTTCATGGCCCCCACCCGCCGCTCAGGGTGGGGGAGGGGGGGAGGACAATAGGTCCGCCCCCCTTATTGTAATTTATGTCTTTTTTTTCAACAGTGAGCAGCCATAGGCTGCTCACTGTTTAGTAGACATGCCCCTACTCGCGGTATAGCGAGTAGGGGCATTTGGGAGATTTTAATCTCCCTTGTGCTATTATGGGGGTCATATTGACCCCCATAGAGTGAGAGGGGGTACTGGGGGGCTTATGAAGTGGTGGGGAGCACTGCTCCCTGCCACTTCTATAGTTACAAATTACAAGGAGGGAGCTGCACGCCGGTAGCTCCCTCCTTGTAATAAACTAAACGAACAAACATACACTGATACATTGTGTTTGTTTGTTTGTTCGGCTGATATACCTATTCACTCATTCGTCTGTCTGATGAATGAATGAATAGATGAAATTCCCGTTCGCATTTCCAGGTGTTTCACTGGGCATGTGCGGGAATCTCAGTGTCTGCCTAGTGTGGGCTGATGACGTGTCCCTGAGGGACTTCATCTACCCACACAAAGATGGCGGCGCCCTGAATCAAGAACGGGGCAGGAAATAAGGATTAAAAAATAGGTAATGTGGGGGGCTTAGGGGCATTTGGGGGTGACTAGTGGGTCTATTGGATGTAGTGGAGGCGGGAGAGGGGTTAAAAAAAAACGGGATTCGGCATGACAGTGCCGCTTTAAATGTCTCCCCTGTAATGTAACTTTTAAAACAAGTCTTTTCTTTTCTTTTTTTCTGTTTTTCTTAGTCTGGAATATACAGGTACTGCAATAGATACATTTAAAAAAAAACTTTTGGTTGATGGACAAAAAACTTTTTCCTTTAGATGTGTGTTTCCCTGTGTGATTCAGGAGGACACTAGATGCTTAAATCATTTTAAAATGTTCTATTTTCTTTAAATTATTTTATGTTTATTTTATGATAAAATATTTTTCAAAACCTATCTTGTTTGAAAATTGGCCAGTATTTATTAATTGCCTTTTTGGTCATCTTGGCTTTATTATTACATTTAGTTAAGAAGGCTGTGTCAAAAATGGAAGCATTATTTATTTTTCTTTTAATAATTCTTAGACTTTCTATTTCATACTGAGTTTTAGCTAACAAGTCTTTAGGATAATCTCTGTTTAAAATGTTTTATTAAAAAGCTGTATTTGTTCTATGAAACCTTATTTTCTTGTGCAGTTTGGTAAAACTCTTATCTGTTGACCTGTGTGGCTATTTTGCAACCATTTAGGATGAATGCAGCTAGAATATTCTGTAAAATCATTACTATCTGTTGTGTAAAATAAGGTTTATTTCACACATGCTCATCTTTAATATAAATTGCTAAATCTAAAAATTATATTATCCTCTTCTATTACCACTGTTCATTAAAGGCCATATTGGTGGTAATTAACAAACACAATACATTGATCTAAAAGTGTCATACCACCTTGCCAGGTAATCAGGATGTCATCTACAGACTCTTTCCAAAGCACCTGGCTCGCTCCAAATACATTGTCTTGCCAAATGTTTTTGGACTCCCAGTCCACCACAAAGATATTGGTGTAACTGGGAGTGAGGCTGATACCCGTGCCTGTCCTGAACATCTGGAGGTAGTGTGCCAGAAGAAACCAGAAGAAAAATGATTTGTTAAAAGGAACTCAATGCAATTTAAAGTAAACTCAATGTGTAAAGTTGACATCTCAAGATCTTTTTCAAAAAGTTCCTTCACGGCTTATATCCATTTATTATGGTCTATGACGGTGTATGGAGAAGTGACATCTATGGTTGCCCGAAGGTTTTCCTCTTTCAATTTCAGTCCTTCAACCGGTCTTATAATCTGTGCTGAATCTTTTAAATACGAGGGAGCCTAAAAATGACT